TCCTGCCCATCCTCAATGTGGCACCCAGCCCCATGTCCCCGGGGACACCCGCAGGAGAAGAACCGAAGCAAAATTGCTGGGGCACCACTGTGCCCATCGCGTGCCAGCCTGCCTGGCCGCGCTTCCCAGCCCACTGGCGTCCAGGGCAGGCAGTGTCTGGCACCCACCCTGCCCAGGACCCAGCACCTGGCAGCAAGACCCTGTACTCACCGCCCCCTCCAGCCGCTGCCCATGGGGCCTGGGGACACGGCAGGGACAGCCGGGGCAGAGCGGAGCACGCAGCACAGCCGAGGCTGCCGGGAGAGGCCAGCGCTCGCCTGACCTACTTCTCCTTCCGCATCACCTGCTTTCATTTTCCCTCGCCATGGCTCGGTCCCCCCGCCCGCCCACAGCCCCGCCAAGTCATGCCACCAGCTCTGGGGGCACAGGGCACCTGGGCCCCGCAGCTCCTGCCGCACGAGCGTGCATGCGAACTGGCCACCCATCCCCGGACACAGAGCGTGGCCGGGGTATGGGTGCATTGAAAATCACCGGCCACAGCACTGGCACCGGCCACCTCCCCCGCTGCCTGCACGGCCACCCAAGCATCACCTCCCTGGCACGAAGCGAGTTTGACGGGTCTCAGCCCAGCCCCTCGTCGGGTCCTCCGGCCGCCCCGGGGCTTGCTGGGGTGTGGACGTGCAGCTCCCGGGGCATGTCGGGGACGCCAGCGCTGCCACGGGGAGCCGGGCAGGCGCCAACCCCCCAGACAGGGTGGCCTCCCCCGCCAGCACCCCGCCGGCTCCCGCGGTGGGGTTACCATGGAAAGGCGGCGGCAGCGCAGGGGGAGCACGGGCTCCCGGGGGCTCCCGCCAGCAGCCCGTGCGCTGCCAGGAGAGATTTCTCCGTGGTTTCATCATCCGCCGCCCGCCCTGAAGAAGTTCCTGCTCCGTGCGCAGGGCAGCGGCCACCCCTCGAGGGCTGGGGTGCAGGGGCTGTGCTGGCCCTGCACCCCCCGCTGCACCCACTGCCCGCCCCCGCCACACTCAGGCCCGTCGCACTCGTGCCACGTGTGCACCGAGGGTGCACGGCACCAGCTGGCAGAGCTGCGCTGCCACGGCCTCGGGCTCAGCACTGCAGCGCTGCCAGCAAGGGGGGGCTGGCCAGCCTGTGCCGGGGCAAGTGGTCTCAGAGGGTCCCCACAACCCAACACTGACGCCTCCCTGCTGCCTCTCACCTCCTCATGCCTGGGGGCTTCCCCTGCTCTGCAACCCCGTCCCCAGCAAGGGCACCTCAGCCCCAGCCAGCCCCGCTGCTCTGCACCGTCCCCTGCCCCACAGCTTCCCCTTCCCCACGCACCCACTTCAAGTTCCTGAGCCCAGCCCCTCCCTCCACACCCGGCACCGGCATCACCACTGCAGCCTCGAGTCGCCGGCAGCTGCCGCGTGCCTCTGCCAGCACCAAAGGACCCCAGCCTGCTCCCCGCAAGCCTGCTCCCGAGCAAGGGAAACCGAGGCATGCCGAGACTCAACCGCACGCCAAAGCCAGCACCACCTCCCCCCACCTGGCGAAAGCAGCCCCAGGTCAAGGGCAGTCGCGGCCCAAGACGGCGGCTCTGCTCTGATGCGGGCCGTGGCGGGAGGGTAAATACTGCACCCCACCCCAGGCAAACAGCCGGTTGGGGGCAGCCAGCCAGGGGGGGACAGGTACAGCAGGGCTGGGTGCGCACGGGGTAGAGTCCACCGATGCTTGGCGGGTGCTACCGAGCCACTTGGCCCCGTGGGCACTCCTTGTAGGGACCCTTGCCAGCAGCGAGAAGCGAGGCACCCACTGCCGCTGCCAGTGTGCCAGGCCCAGCAGGTCACCGGCATGGCGTGCTGGGACGTGAGGACACCCACCCTCCGCTCCCGCCTCTACCAGCACCAGCGCGGCGAGGGGTTCCTGAGCTGCCTCCCTGCCACGACGGTGCCATTCCTATCCAGTGCACCCGGAGATGCAGCCGAGCTTCTCACGGGGCCGGGAAGGGTGGTGGGATGGCGACAGCACCCCGTCACCCGTGGGGTGAACACACGGGGGACCTTGGCTGGATGGTGGCACCACAACCAGACACCGGCGGGAGGTCTGGCAGCCGCTCCCGGGGACCCTGCTGGTGGTGCCGCTTTCCCGCAGCTCCGTGCGGAGAGACAGGGAAGGGCCCACGCACGACCGCCCCCCACCCCACGGGCGACATGTCCACTGGCTACCGGCCGCGGGCAGTCACGGTCGGGGCGCGGAGCACCCCCCGCTCCCGGCGCACGGGGACCGTG